ACAATATGTGTATTAATTGTTTAATGAGAAATTAATTTGCTCTTTAAACTTTCACTTAAAGCACAATTTAAAAAAAAAAGGAAGTCAGGGACAAGAATGTATCACTGATACACTGATATTATGCAACTTTATACTGTAATGTCCTAGCTAAAGAAATAATAAAAGAAAGAAGGAAAAAAGAGTTAATGGATTGGTAAAATAGAGAGAAAACAGTAAATATTGGCAGGTGATATAATTTTCCATGTAGAAAACCCAAGATAACTTTAAAACAAGCTATTGGATTTCGAGTTCAACACTTTTGCCAGACACGAAATCAAGAGCTCTCATAGAGCAAAATAATCTATTAGAAAGATAATAGAAAAAAATAGTTCATTTATAACAGTAACCAAAACCATAAGGTATGTAGAAATACCAAACAAAAAATGTGCAAAACCCTTATGGAGAAATTTTTAAAACAGCACTGAACTCCTTAAGAAATGGAAAGGTATCCTATGTTCATAGATGAAAGCATTTATTATCGCAAAAGTGTCAGATTTATCTAATATTCTATAAATTCAATATATCTTAAAAAAAAATCCCTATAGGGGTTTTCACGAAACTTGAAATTTTAACTCCAAAACTATGAAGAGAGCAAGACGAGCAAGGAGAAGAGATGTGCCTTATCTCCCCAAAAAAGTCTTATTAAAAACTTTTGGTAATTAAAACAGGATAGCGTAGTTACAGGGAGGCAAATAGATCAATGGAATACAGAGCCCAGAAATAAACCCAAGCATATATATATAAACTTCATATATGATGGAGTTAGTATTATTGACTGGTGGGTAAAGAAGCCAATGAATGCTAGTAAGTTAAAGGCTTAGAACTAAAAAAAATAAAACTTGATTCTTAACAAACATCGTTTTAAAAGCTGTTTAACATTCCATCATATTGATACATCAATTTTACCATTCCTCTATGATGGGGACTTAAAGATTGTTTCCAATTCCTTGCTGTTAATAAAAGCACTGCAATGGATATCACTGATATGCATTTCTCTGATTATGTCCTATTGTCAGACCTCTAGTTATGGTATTACTGGATCATACAGTTAAGGATACTGGAACATACTGAAAACTGCTTTCCTGAAAAGACTGTATAAATTTATGCTTTCATTAGTAGTATATAAGTGTGAGATCACTTCACTTCCTAAGAAGTTGTTAAAGTTTGTATTCATATTCCAAGCTCCACAGATCAAATAAGCAAGGCAAACAGACATGCTGACATTATACAGTGACATCAAGACATAATAAACTGACTTTATAATTAATAATCTTTTAGTCTGCAAAACCTAGTGTGTATGGGTCTTGCTTACTTCATCTTCCTTCACCCCCAGAAAGCTGAAACTTCTTAGTCTGACATCCAAAACCTACCTCTTTCTGCCTTGTCCACTCTGCTCCAGCCACTCTAGCTCCTTGTTTCTCAAACATATCATACACAGTCCTTCTCCCCAAATGCTCTTCTGTGGATATCCGCAGAGCTCACTTCCTCACTGCCTTCAGGTCTTTGCTCAAATGTTCCCTTATCAGAGGTCTTCCCTTCCCACTCTGTGCAAATTAACTACCCCCTTCACCAGCCTCCCTATCTATATTTACCTGCTGTCTTCTTCTCCAACACTATTTGTTTCTGATTACTTCCCTAAATTATCCTGAAACTTTAAAAAACCGGTTTATGGTAAGGAAAATTTGGCAATGGATATTGGTGATGGTTGCACAACATGACTGATGTAATCTGTCTCACTGAATTGTACATGCAAAAAATGTTGAATTGGCAAACGTTATATTATCAATATTTTTATAACAATAAAACAAAAACAAAAAACCAACCTAATCCTATAGCCCAAGGCACTGCCATCGTAACTCTTACAGAGTGTACACTTTTTTCTCCTTATGATTATATGAACCAAGATCAGCTCTAGCACAATTTCTTTCTAAGCCCTCACTGCTACCTCCCTTATACTGCTGTACTTGCTCCATCTTGGCCTCTACTTCTGCAAACACCTAGCAGTCTAACGCTGTTCACTGAGGAGCCCTGTGCACACTGCCCTCTCTGTTCAATGCCCTGTGGGCCCATATGGCTCTTCTTTGCATCCTCCTCTTCACTGCCTTTATCTCACCCTGTCTCTGTGTCCTCCAGATCAGCCAAATCAGAAATAAAATCATATAAAAAAAATCATCTGAATAAAATGAGTGTATTTGCATTAGCTGTGCTTAACTCAAACAGTAACTGAGATAAATGTGACTTCTTACAGTTTCTAACTGGAAAAAAGAAAGATGTAAGATGTATGGTTTGTGTTCTTGAGACATTTCCATTCCATTTATTTCTTCAAAATTTGTCATCACTTTGAGTCTGTCATAGTCTTTCTGCCTGAAAAATTTCATTCTCATTTAGTATTATCCAAGAAGCACCTCTCTTCTATTTTCCATTCCATTCGGCACAGACCTCCTCTCCGTGAACAGTAAGGAACAGTAAAGTATGCCTCCTTATGCCACTCCTCCTTTCTAAGGAAGCTTTTTTCTACCTCAGCGAGTCTCCATTTCAGATTGAATTTCAACAGACCATGGCTGTTTCCCCTTCAAGATGTATTTAAGAGCTTTCTTTTCCTTTCCACACATCACTTCCACAGATTATTTCTGACAGGTACTAGGAAACAGATCCACACAATCAGACCTATGAAAAATGCTTGCTTTTAAATATTGTTAGGCAATTAAAAATTACTTTTTTAGAAGAAACTACTTTGAGATGAAAAATATAGCTTTAAAAAAAGACCATCTTTATGGTATTCATTGTTTTCTGGGGTTACAATATGTAATGCAATGTGGTTTTCTTTTATTGTGTACTTAGACTCTTTCCATGGTTGCAGTAATCTGCCAAAACATATTTTTAATTTTTAACTTCATTTCCCTTTGAAATATAAAATAGAATAGGATAAAGTAGTGACATTTTAAAAGAACGATATAACATCCTGTGCTATTATGACGGCTAGAATACATGATTTTAAAAACAAATGGCAAGGGGGCACCCCAGCCTGCATTAGCTGGAAGGGTTCTCTTGATAGAGGCCCCACCTTGAGGCTCCAGAGGTTAAAAAGACAGCTCAAATGCAATGGATGGGGGTAAGCCTCTAAGCAGATTGCACCTCCGAAGAGAAGCTACAGTTTGAACAGAAGGCTTTAGCCTCCAGCTCCTTTCAGACATCTTCCGAGCAGCTACGTGGAGGAAAAGCCAGCACAAGGGATCAGTCAACAAATAGGACAAACCTGACCCGAAAGATTTTCACCAGAATTTTGACACTGGCAAGATCAGAGAGATGGTGAAATTACTGGACTAAAGCAGTTCCAGGCCTTCCTGAACAAGGAATTTAAAATCTGTCTCAAAACTCTGAAAATAATGAAGATGCTGTGGTTCTGGAGGATTTAACCCAAATGAGGAGGAGACAGGTAAAACATACAGACAAAACGCACTAATGGCACTAGGCTCAGAAGGAAGCAGTCTGGAAGGAAAAGTAGGAAAACTACGTTTCCCTTGCCCTACATTATGCATAGGGTCAACCCAAGGAGTCCTCCTGTCCTCAAAATGGAACCCAATGGAAAGAGGATGGCCACCATGCTTCTGATTGCAAGGCGCCAGTTTCTACATGTACCATTTAGTGACACTGATTGCATTCTTTGAGTAGTGCAACCATTCTCATCCTCTTTTTCTGAGTTGTTCCACCCCCATTAACATAAATTCCCTGCCTCCTAAAGTTCTAATCTGGTCTTTCGAGTTGCTGTTGTCAATTTGATCTCATGTGGCTAGTTCTTGGAAGAGCTTAGTGCTCAAGGAAGATATATTTTACTAGTTGAGCTGAATTGTTGTTTGGTTTTGAGGGGACTTCAGGAGATATTTTTGGTTTAAGATTTGGGGATTGTCTCAGGGCAATCATTTCAGGGGTTCATCTAGCTTTTGTGGCTCCAGGTCTGGAGTCCATTAGATTTAAAACTCTGTTCTGCATTTTCCTCCTTTTGATCAGGGTTCTTCTATGGAACCTTTGATCAAAATGTTCAGTAACGGTAGCTAGGTGTCACCCAGTTCTTCTGGTCTCATGGCAGTTGTTCATGGAGGCAACTGGCCACACATTGCACATCCTCCTCCTATTCCTGACTCTCCTTCTTCCTCTGTTGCTCCAGGTGAATGGAGATCAGGTTGTGCCTTGGATGGCTGTGTGCAAGCTCTTAAGACCCCAGGCACTATGCAACAGACTAGGGTTAGAACAGAAGCACTGAACACGTTGTTGTGCTGAATGACAGGGATGTCCCATGAGACCATGACCCTGGGCCTCCAAACCAGGAAGCTATGTTCCAGAAGGTTTTGGTTGTGCACGGGCAGCCTCAGTAGCTACTCTTTTTTTTTTTTTTTGTCATTGTTGTGAATGTGTCTGGCATACAACTTCTGCCAATTCAGCTTTTTGCAGCTGTGCAACTTGTCGACAGTGGTTACAATGGTCGGCTGTGCAACGCTACCCTTGATCAATACAATCAACATTAACCCACCCCCCACTTTGCTCTTCCCTCCCACCCCTGGTAACCACTAGTAAACTTCGTTCTCTAGGAAACAAAACAAAACAAAACAGAGTGATACTTCTCTACATCCTACACCAAAACTTCCTAAGATACACTCAGCTGGCTGCCCAAAGGTCAAAAAACCAAACCCACTGCCATTGAGTCGATTTTGACTCATAGTGACCCTATAGGACAGAGTAGAACTGTCCCATAGGGTCACCAAGGCTGTAAATCTTTACAGAAGCAGATTGGCATCTCTTTCTCCCACAGAGCGGCTGGTAGGTTTGAACTGCCAACCTTTCAGTTAGCAGCCAAGTGCTTTAACCACTGTGCCACCAGGGCAGCTGGCTGCCCACTTTACGATAATATGTGAAATATCCCCAAAGAATTAAAATCTTCCTCCAGACCCATAAAGACTACTCACCAGACTTCCTTGCTTTCAAAGCAATAACAGCTGCTAGTTCTCTCTGCATCTAATAAAATATTAGGAGAAAAATCTAATTAGAAGGAGAAAAATGTAGCTATCAAAAGCAGTATTTTGTTTTTAGGTATGTAACCAAAATTAAGAGCTGTTGCAGTTAAATCTAAGTTTGCTGCCTTCATTTGATTATTATTATTATTTTTAACTGTGATAAATATATATGTAGCAAAATATTTGACATTTCAACAATCTTCACGTGTACAGTTCAGTGACATTAATTATGTTGATCATGTTGTTCAACCATTGCCCTTATCTATTCCCAAATTAACCCCTACGTTGGAATTTTAGGCCAAAAATCTGGAAGAACTGTATTGACTTACTTTAGAAAAAAAAATTAGACAGTTGAAGGCCAGAATGTATACCCCGTAAAACACTGGTATTTATGCCATGATGATGGGAAGTTCCTCAAAAACATAACATATAACATTCAGAAAGAATGCAAATACAAATTAAATTATTAAAAAAATACACAATACCATGACGAAAATATTAAATTCAGTATTATTTATTTCTCAAAGATTCCAGTTTATACAGGTATGCTAGAAAAAATGAGATCGGTGATCCTGGTTTAATTGGACTTCAGGTAAATACAATGAATGTTCCCTTGAATCCTTGCTGTTTTACAGTAACCCTTTCAGATAATAAGTCACATCAAAGCAGGTGTCAGAGACTCGCAGGACAGGAGAAATAGGAAGAGACAAGATGACCTTTAAAATCCTAAATCCCTTAAATTCCACTTATTTGTCCAGACTCTTGGTCTCTCTCACTCTTTACTTTGAATGTTTAAATCCTTCGTTAAAAGCATTCTCTAAAGAGGAACATATAACAGAGACAAAAGAGATAGCCACAGTCACTTTCAAAGGAAACACTGAGAGGGGGCAAAAAAGAGATAACCTGAGGATACTCTTTGGGAAATCTATGTTTGATAGCAATAAAAATTCCATAATGACCAAGCTCTTTCCCCTTTAGGGCATAATCTTTTAAGCTTAGAAGTGTGTGTGTATTCAGGTGTTTAGAGGTAGTGGGGCGGGAGGGAGTTTTAAAAGTCATGCAGCTTAATACACCACACTGACACTTCCGAGTTCCTGAGTGGTGCAAATGGTTAATGCGTTTGGCTGCTAACCAAAAAGTTGTAGGTTCGTGTCTACCCAGAGGTGTCTCAGAAGAAAGGTCTGGTGATCTACCTCCAAAAAAATCAGCCACTGAAAGCCCTTTGGATCACATTTCTACCCTGACACACATGAGATCACCATGGGTTGGAGTTGATTCAATGGCAACTGTTTTTTTAACGACACCTGAAAGGAAGAACATGTGAGCTCAATATAAATTGAAGATCTGCCATCAAATTAAATTTAAATTAATTTACTTGAAAGTGAGGGTAGCAATGTGCTAGACACTGGGGCTCCACTTAGGAGGGCTTTCACAATGGCCAGGGCCTCATCATCACCTCTGAAGAAGAAAGTTTCCTGGGCACTGTTTTTCCTGCCGTGCTTTGACTGGCTGATTAGTTTGGATGCTGTTTAAAAGTGAATATTCTTAATTTAGTTGACTCATTAATACCTTAAGACTCTTTCAGAAAAATCATACAGTAATGGAAAGCCAAGGAGCCCTGGTGGCACAACGATTAAGCACTCAGCTGCTAACCAAAAGGTTGGCAGTTTGAACCTACCCAGTGGCTCTGTGGGAGAACGACCTGGAATCTGCCTCCGTAAAGATTACAGCCAAGAAAACCCTATGGGGCAGTTCTACTCTGTCATATGGGGTTGATATGAGTTGGAATCAACCTGATGGCTCACAATAACAATAACAATGAGAAGATAATCAGTCACTCCCCAACTTTGGGAGTTTGGCTCTAACTATGCTCATGATTAGAAAATTTGAAGTTGAAGAACTGTATTGATCAAGAGGGCTGGGAGAGATACAAATGATAAGTGACATTAGGAAAACCTTTTTTAAGTATTTGTATGTGCACTAAATGAATAAAAACCGCAAAAAAAAAATCAGTTATTGTCTATTTAATATATTTTAAATTTATTGCATGATTTGCATCTCTTTTCAGGATTTTCCTCCTTCACACTGTCACAAATAGTTGGGGTGGAGGCAAGATGCAGATTATAAATATTCACTAGGATCTTCTGTCAATGGCTTCCAGAGTTTATGGCTTCCCAGGGAAGACTCTACTATGGTCTCAGAGATGGGAAGAAACCAAAGACAGAAAATGATGCATGAAGTGGATCATTTTTGTTTCAGAGCATCAAAAAACAGTCTTCTGCACCCTCCTCTGTCAGTTTTCCATACTTAAAATCATCTTTCTGAGATTTGTGGTTTTGTTGTTGTTCCTCTTCTTCTAATTAGAAATAAGGCTCAAAATATAGATGTCTCAGAAAAGGAAATGTATTATATTTCCAACACTGTATAACACTACATCTATTATATCTTTTCAAAGATTTGGTGGGGAAAGAAAAGAGCAAGAAAACCTTAGAGGATTTTGGGCGAGCCAGGAAAAAGATGAGAGGTGGGCAGTGGGAAAGGTAAGAAGAACTGCACAGCTTGATTTAGAAGGAACCTGAGCTTTTTTATAGAAAAACAGAAAAACAGGTGGAATTATTAAACACTACATTCTCTGAGTCTTTGTAGTCAAGGAGGATATGAGTCTTTTACGCTAGGGAGGGTATAGAAGAGCTTCTATGTTTCTGCCTCAGGAAAAAACAAGTTTTTCATGAAAAACCAAAAGGTAGGTTGCTCTTCCTGCAAAACATAAAGGGGAAATTTTGTGCGATCAGGCAAAGCACAAACTAGTAAGTGTTCATATATGCTCCTGTAACATCTTCATAGTACTTTTTTAAAACACTCTTGTTAGTTTCCATCCAGTTGGCTCCAACTCATGGCAACCCTATGTATAACAGAATGAAATGTTGCCTGGTCTTGTGCCATCTTCATGATCATTGGTAACTGGACAACGTTCTGTTGTGATCCATAGGGTTTTCATTGGCTAATTTTCAGAAGTAGGTCACCAGGCCTTCTTCTAGAAATACACTAAAACCAAACCAAACCCATTGCTGTCTAGTCAATTCCAACTCATAGCGACCCTGTAAAACAGAGTAGAACTGCCCCGTAGGGATTCCAAGGAGCAGCTGGTGGATTCGAACTGCTGACCTTTTGGTTAGCAGCTGTAGCTCTTAACCACTGTGACATCAGGGAACCAAAAACACACTAGACATCATTTTAATTTATCATTTTTAATTGTATGACTAAAGTCTGTTGTCTGTTGTCTGGATGGAAGCTCCTCAGAGGCAGGGGCCTGTTTGCTGGAGTGATGTGGGGTCACAAGTCAAGGAATGCAGGCACTTCTAAGTATTAGCATTTTAGCTAATTATTTTGTATAGAAGAATTGGAAGATATGTTAGGTCCCCGGTTCTATTAGTTTCCTATTGCTGCTATAGCAAATTACCATAAATTTGTTGTTAGCTGCGGCCGAGTCGGCTCCGACTCACAGAGACCTTACGTATAACAGAACGAAATGTTGCCTGGTTTAAGCTACACATGTAGTGGCTTAAAACAACACAAATTATTCTTACGATTCTGGAGATCAGGAGTCTGAGATGGGTTTCATGGGGGTAAAATCAAGGTGTTGACAGGGCTGCATTCCTTCTGGAGGCTCTAGGGAAGAATCTCTTTCCTTTTCCAGCTTTGAGACCTCACGTCACTCCAATCTCTGCTTCCACTGTCACATCTCCTTCTCTGACGGTCCCTCTTTGCCATATAAGAACCCTTGTGATTACACTGAGCCCACCTGGGTAATCCAGGATAATCTTCCCATCTCAAAATCCTCAAACACTTGGAAAGCTTTAAAAAAAAATTACTGTTACTTGGGCCCTAAGTCAGAATCTCTGGGAGAGGGATGCAAGTGTCAGTATTAATTGTTCTAGATTGCAGCCAGGGTTGAGAACACTGCACTATTCATCAAGACATCCCAGTCTCCTCTAAGACTCAGTATTTCAATCTTATAATCATTTCAACTGATGATCAGTCTTTATTTTTCATTTTGTTCTCCTCTAATTTAATTCATTCTTAAAGAGGCATGGCCTTCACTGTGTTTTAGATATAAAATTATGCTATAATCCAATCAAATGATAAGATTCAGATAATATGTCTGCAGTTTGACAGATAGGATTTACTCAAGTACAAAGAAAATTCCAAGGAAGCTTTTTCAGAAGCCTAAACTTTAAAATATAGTTTACTCAATATGAAAAAAAACTACATAATTCAAAACACACATGCAGCTTCGCGTATATTTGTCCTTGTGAGTATCTAAATAGAGAATTATTACGGGACTGATAAGACATATCCAAATTTTCCCTTCCTCTCTAGATACTCATCAGAAACTAGAGTCAGAAACATGTTGAAATGTTTTGACTTTCTATCTCCGATAACCACCAGGGCTGTTCACAAAATGGCCCTGAAATCGGATGAGAATCAGAGCCAGTCTTATTTCCAGCGTTTTGTGGAACTTTTTTTCTCTGGCACTTTAATAGTGCCCTCAGCCTAAAATCTGAATGCTCACAAAGCTGTTTTGCATCAGAGCCAAAACCCAAGAGGCCACAGAAAGTGTCAAATGCAAACTCTGAGCGCAAAGGAGTATCTAGTGAAAGAATTTAGCCGAGAAGACCTGAGCAGCCTTCCTGGAAGAAGAGGCCCTTGAAAATGAAGTCTGAAGTTGGACAGAAAGTCAACGAAGGCCGTTTTGGGAGGACTGAACAATATTGTCAAAGGTCTTGGGTAACCAAAGGGTTGTCTCTACAAACTAATTTTAAATAGAACCAGTAACTCAGAAATTTTCTAAAGGTTATTTTAGTAAATCTTTTCATCTTTTTGGAGCCCTAGTGGTGCCTAGTGGTGCAGTGGTTAAAACCTCGGCTGCTAAACAAAAGGTTCAGCAGTTTGAATCCATCAGCCGCTCCTTGGAAACCCTATGGGGCCATTCTACTCTGT